CCTCAAAGAACTGCCTTGGTGAAATGTTGAACGTGTAATTGATACTTGTTCAATTTCAACATGCTTGCTGGTTGGCATGTTTACTGCAGCAGATCCACTGTTGCTGCTTTTGCTTTGATGTCACCAGTTGTGTATTGTATTTGTTGTTGCTCAGTACGGGGGCTGGTCGGTCACGTAAGAAGTTAAGTTAAGTTTTGTTATATTCTATAACCGAACAGCCTACATAAGCCGTGCAGTTGTCGGTAGTGGTTGTTTAGACCTACTAAGAATAGCACTAAAGAACGGGAGCGTGATATTTCACCGCAGGACGTTTCGCCGAAGGTCATTTCGCCGAATGGTTGATTTCGCCGAATGAGTAATTTCGCCGAATAGCAAGCCATTTTCTATGGTTTGGAACTTTTCTTAGTAAATTTTGAAATCGGTCTCGAAAAAAGGTTAAGAAGGTTAGGTTTTTTCAATCTGGTAAGCCAGTACTTCCCAACCTGGGCGCCGCGGCCGCCGAAGCTTTCTCAGGTGCGCCGCGGGCTCATTACAAAATATATATTAAAATCCAGCTAGGGAACGTATGTGTTTTTTCCAAATTCATTCATGACCAGTGCCTAATATTCAAACATGCAATACAAAATTCAATATATCCTCTGTTCACTTCTGTAGTTGAGAAGTGGTCTCAAATCTCTCCCCCTGCAATAGTGAAATCCAACCAACCACCGGCCACCCGTGGCGCTGCTGTCGTAGCGGTGATAAAAATGTAAAACATCTGTCCAACGTGACTCACAGCAGAATTTTCACTTTTTAAATTGGAAATTTGCCTTATTTTGTACGTTTTTGGTGATCAAAAAGCTTGTAAAATTGAAAAATAGGGGAAATTGCTCTAATGTTGGCCTATGGATCTAACATTGGGCCCATCGCTAAAAATCTGCTATTTATCAATTTTATCTAGATTGTCATTGGGACGATACTAATGGATATTTTTGGTCGCTATTGAAAATTTAGTTGATTGCTGAATTTATGTATGCGCCCAAATTCGAAGTATTTAGGCCGACATTACATCCATTTCCCCTATATAAAAACAAAAAAAAACTTCATTCTCTAGAAAGAAATCTGCCCTTTTTTTCTATTTAATATTGGTGCACCGCGGATTTTTTAGAAAATTTCAAAATGCGCCGCTGTAGCAAAAAGGTTGGGAACCTGTGGTAAACTATTCAAATTTAATGCTTCCTTGTTTTGAACATCAGCAGCTCTTTTGAGTTGTATTGATTTCAGAAATTTTCAAATCATAGATATTTTTGATTTAAAGTGATGCTTACTTCTTTTGAACATGAGCAGTTCTTTTGAGTTGTACTGATTTCAGAAATTTTCAAATGATCAATATTTTTGATTTATATGAATGCTTCCTTCTTTTAAACATAAGCAGCTCTTTCGAGTTGTACTGATTTCAAAAAAATTAAAGGATTGTGTCCAAGACACGACTGCAGTTTGAAAATTGATGTATGTCATGCATTTTTGAATATTATACTCTATCTTAAATTTTCCAAGTATTTCATTGTTTCGGTTATGGGTCAATGTTGGTCCAAGTATTTTTCCTGGAATGTAATAAATTATGAAAATTCAAATGTGTGGTCCTAAACAAGCCGTTATATATTTTGGAGTAGCACCCCAGTATAGACCACTAAGACGCCATGCATGTTGTGGGATAAAACGATTGCCAAAAATACGCTATTTTTTTCAGTAGCTCCATCATTAGTTTTAAATTAGGTCTCTGAAGCAGAGAAGAGAGTGAAGGTTGTATTTTATGATAACGCAACAATCAGTTTTTTTCTCCTTATCATAAGACGACACTTTCAATATTGAACAAAATGTTGGTTCATATGTCAGCGAAGTAGGGGAGGAAGGGGTATAACGATCATACGGGGTTTAAGCACCTCTTTGTTCTCAAAGTTGGAGGACAACCCTAACATAAAATTATCAAGCATCATCATTATGTAGTTTGCAGCGTGCTCGTAGAATGATGCAAAATAGAATACTCTGTGACTCTTCTCAAATCAAACGTTTGGTTTCCAATAAGTAGGTCCTTAGTACAACAATTATTGAAAATTAAGGGGATTCAATAATTGAATTTCAAAGGCAGAGCGAAAGTTCGTATGAGGCATAAGGCAAATTACGACCTCAAACGAATAAAAATTGTCAATTGACACCTAAAATCACATTAGAATTGAACAATTAGTTCAATGGTTGTCATTTAGGCGGCCGAGTGCCGCATTAGCCACACCTGGCCATGATTCGATCCCCTCGGAAAAGTGACCAGTTTCTGAATTGAATCACATTAAAATTCAACAACCAGTTCAATGGCAGTTATTAGGAATAGCCAGGATCCAGTCAATTTCCGGAAACCCCTAGGAAAGAAGCCAGTTTTAGACTTGGATCAAAATCCATTATGCGATCACATGAGAATTCATTTACTTCCTCTATGCTCTGTTTAAGAAAGTTGTAAATATGAAAGTAAACAGAAAATTATGTTGCTGTGCGCAAAGGAAATTTTAAACAAACCGAAGCACACCTGACAGCCAATGCAGGAAACAACTAGGTTCAACCATGATACAAATATAAATTAGTAATTTTGCCAAATATTCAAACACATCAATAAAATTTATGCATTAATAGTCTGCTAGCATGAAGTTTACATCTTTTAGTAGTATTATGCTGCAAAAAAAACTCTGAAAATGTAGGCAAACATTCCTCTTGTTGACGTTCTAAATTGAGTCATATTGATGAGAAAATAAGTTAAATGTGAGCTATTTTTGAAAACATAATAAAATCAAAATTATGTTGATCATTAAAACAAATATTTTTCATTGTCGTTATGAGCTTTTAGAAGAAGTTTCTCAGACTTTCTTGGAGATAAATTAGCGTCGGTAAAAATAGGTCCTACATGAATTATTTTTGGATAGGTTCAACCAAAATTAATAACCCAAATTAATTTGATTTTCCTACCTCCGTGGAGAATTTCTAACTGCTCTCCCCCCCTAACTGTCTGCGTAGTTAATGAACAACACCTAGGGGTGTTTACATCTGTGCGTATTCGCTTGACGCTGATGCTCAGCTTGCATTATGCTAGCTACTTTTTTGCACAGTGCTAGTACACTAGCACTACCAAATCCACATAGATGTAAACACCACATTAACCGTTGACTTGCTCCTGCTTGCTGCAGGACCCAGTGCCACGCCGTCCGAAACGGCTATGAGCAGAGGCATGACAGCAGCGCTGTTTTATATCTTTTCAGGTTCAAGCAGAACGATGTGTAACCAGCTCGATTATGACGACTGGGTTTGGAGAAAACGTTTATTTCATGAAAACAGAGATAAAAGTATCATTTGAACTTTGTTTACAAGTATTTTTGTAGTAAATTGGAAAAAAATATTTATTTCAGATTTTTTAGATTTCAGATTCGTAAAGTAATATCCTATCGATTGGCGTATTTGGATTTCAATTTCATCTATAAATGACAAAGTTACAAGCATTCAAAACCTAACACTTTTTCTCCATACATATTTTATGATTTGTACCCCAGTATAGTCGACAAAGAAAAAGTTCTACGTCAAAAAATTAAACAATCACTGTATTACATTTTTAGAAATGTTTCAAATGTACAATCAATGTATTACATTTTAGAAATGACCCACTCGTCAAAATGACCCATTCGACGAAATGTCCTTCGGGGGAATGTTCTTCGGCGAAACGTTCTTCGGCAAAATGACACAGCTGCCTACGGAACACCTGTTTCGGTGGTAGAAGTCCATCACACAAGTGAACCCTAATTCAGGGTTTCATGCGGCCTTTGGCTTACCATGTAAATGATTCTATAACACATCGTTTTCTATCTCTTTTCAATCTTCACTATCTATCTCTTTTTAATCTTCACCGATGGCAGACGCGAAGGGACTGATGCAAGCCGTTATGGATGTTTCGGTTGCATTCGGGTGTAAAGCAAACATCATTAAACTCAATCTCACCACAGTTTGGTGAGATTTGCAGTTGGTGAGTTTTGTTAGCTTGATATTCCGAGCTGCGATATCACAGCTTGCAAAATCAACCGCTGAACTTATCCTTGGCCGTGAAAAACAGGTTGCCGGGGATCTGTTTGAAGTCGGCCTTCACATATGTTTCGTCGTCCATGATGCAGCATTCAACTTTCGTCATCATGTTGAGGTACAACTTCCTGGCACGGGTTTCGGCGGACTTGTTCTGCTTCTCGTCGCGATTAGGGGCCTTTTGTACCTTGAACGTTCGAAGCCCAGCCTTAGTTTTGGCCTTCTGGACAAAACTTCGGATAAGGTGCAGCTTCTTAGCCACATCCCTAACGGAGGCGTTCGGATTTCGGTTGAAGGCCCCAACTACGCGGTTGTGATTTTTGGTGTTGTACGGAATACTTTTTCCTTCACTTCTGGGCTTCCGATCGGTGGTCAACCGTTCCTCGAACCGCTTAATCATTCGCGACACCGTGGAATTCGCGATTCCCAACGTTTTAGCGATGGAACGATGCGAGAGATCCTTGTTCTCGTGATGAATGCGCAAGATTTTATCACGCACGAGCTGTTCTTTCGACTCCATTTCCGCGAGTTTTGATCACAGGACTTTAAAATAATGCACTATGAACTAAATCCACCCAAATTTTCATAAAATTCTACCCAACGGTTAAAAAGTTAGAGCAATTTCATAGTGTGGCAATTTCATCGTGGACACCCTTTAGTTGATTTTTGTCTACGAAAATCAAGCCTGCTCTTGGGCGTTGGTGAGATTTGATTTTTTTATATTTTCCCAACACTGTGAAATAGTTCAGACTGTGATATAGAGTCATGTGTACTCACTCAGGTGTTGTTAACGAATGTCGCTAGGAATATTTATTGATGTTGATGTTGCTTGCATTAATTTTAGAATTAGTTTGCTGTGCTCGCATCTGTTTTATTTTTTCTATGTTGTTTGAGATATATTTATGCATTGTTTATAATAGCTCCCATGGCTTGCTGGATCTTGGCCACGGTACCGGGGCACACTTTGGTGGAGACTTAGCAGCGGTGACGCAATGTCGGCATGACTTGACGTAGTCAGCAATTTCGCTGTCCAAGAATGGCCAGTAGACGTACGATCTGGCAATGGCTTTCATTCGTTGAATACCCGGATGACCTCGGTGAAGCTGGTCGAGGCAGCGCTTGCGGTTCGACGAAGGAATGACCAGACGTTCGCCGAAGAGGATACAGCCTTGGACAGTGGTGAGTGACTCCTGACGGTCGCAAAAACGCTTCAACTCTGGGTCGAAAATCTGCTTAGATGCTGGCCAGCCATCGTGCAGGAAACGGTATACCTTTTTTGAGACAGGATCGGACTGAGTGGCTTTTTGTACGATCCTGAAACTCAAAGGAAGGATATTAATCGTATCGGTGGTAACTGACCTGATATCGTCCTCAAGAGCAACCGAGGCGATAACGTAATCCTCATCCGGTCTCACGTGCTGACTGATGAGTCGAGAAAGCACATCCGCGTTACCGAACTTCGCTGTTGGAACGTGCTCGATGGTGAAGTCGTACAGTATCAGCGTTAGCGCCCAGCGCTGCAATCGGTTCGACGTGTAGACCGGAATGCCTTTCTTCGAGCCAAAAATCCTCAAAAGAGGTGCGTGATCCGTTTGCAGATGGAAGCGCCGACCAAACAACATTCTGTGAAATTTCGTTACCGCGAATATGATGGCTAGGCCTTCGCGATCCGGTTGGCTATAGTTCCGCTCGGCCGGTGTGAGTGCTCGCGACGCATGCTGAACGACCTTCATGGTACCATCCGGGAATTTATGGCTGATAGTGGCACCAACACCGACAGAAGAAGCGTCTGCCGATACGACGATGTCGAGATTCGGGTTGTAATGGGTGAGGAGCAAATCTGAAGCAAGAATCTCCTTGAACCTCATGAACGCCTGTTGGCATTGTGTTGTCCAACGGAATTCGGTGCCAGCCTTGAGTAGCTCGTCCAACGGGAAACGAAGAGTTCTCATTCTATGGACGAATTTACCGTAATAATTAACCGCCCCGAGGAAAGAGCGTACGCCGGAGACATCAGTGGGAGGAGCCATGTCGGTGATAGCTTGAATCTTCGCTGGATCTGGTCGTAGCCCGTTGCGGTCGAGCAGGTAGCCCAAATATTTGATTTGTGGCTGAGCGAACGTACACTTCTCTGGCCGGATGGTGAAACCAAATTCTTGAATCCGCTCCAAAACTGCACGAAGATTGGTCCAATGCTCCTCAGTGTCTTTTCCGCCAACAACCACGTCATCAAGGTAACCAGAAGTGCACGGGAGACCAGCTAACATGGTGTCTATCAGCTGCTGGAATGCTCCTGGTGATGTCTTGACTCCTGGTGGTAGACGGTTATAGCGGTACAATCCTCGGTGGGTGTTGATGGCAAGAAGATCCCGACTACATTCGTCGACTTCCACCTGGAGGAAGGCGTCAGAAAGGTCTACCTGGCTGAACACGGTGCAGTTGGCTAACTTGGCGAAAATGTCTACCGGTAACGGGAGAGGGTACCGATGCGGCTGCAGGGCATCATTGAGGCCGGTAGAATAATCCCCACAAATCCGTATGGAGCCGTTGGCCTTGCGGACGACTACAATCGGGGCCGCCCAGTTGGAAAAATCAACCGGTGAAATGATCTTGGCGCGCTCCAATCTGTCCAACTCGTCATCCACCGCGCTGTACATGGCGTAAGCCACAGGACGTTTAGGGTGAAACGCCGGTACTGCATCTTGCTTGAGCTCTAGCTTGAGTTTTGTTTTTGTACACAATCCAAGTTCACTTCGGAAGACTTCCGGAAATGCCGCCTTGAGGGTGTCCACAGTGGTAGAAGAACTGGTGACACGGTTGCAGTAGGAATTGATAGGCACAGATCACAATCCGAAAGCATCGAGCATGTCGATCCCTAGCAGCTGAAGGGACTTCTCCACCACGTAGAATTGTGCTTGGCGTTGCTCACCGTTGATTGATACGGTGCAGACGAACTTGAAAAGTAGCTTTAACGGATCTCCTGACGCTGTTGCGGCTCGTTCCGTAGATGGCATTATCGGTGGCTTGCCAACTTTCTCCCAGATCCGCTTTGACACAACACTGATGTCAGATCCAGTGTCTAACTGAAGACGTACATCCACTCCGTTGACTTGAGCTTGAACGAAACTACGCTTTTTGTTAACGGTATTTACCAGAAGACTTACTGTTTTCGTTGAGACAGTTTTCGGTCGGCCTTTCGACTTGAAAGCCGATGATTTGGGGTTTTTCCGAACGCTCGAGCAATACCCCTCACGATGGCCGACGAGACCGCAATCGTTGCACTTGTGTTGCTTATACGTGCAGTCCCGGTTAAAGTGCATTGCTCCACAGTTCCAGCAGGGTGATGCTGGCACGTTCCTGGCTTGTTTCGTTCCGGTTCCAGCGGATCCGATGCTGGGCTTCGGTGGATACTTGTTGAATTGCTTACGTTTGACGAACTGCACTGCTGCTGACGTTGGCGATTCGATCATTGCCGTATCATGCTTCAGACACAACAATCGTTGACAGTCCGCTGACAGCTGTTCGAGTGTGACGTCCGTCCGCTCCTCTATCTTCGAAAGCAATCTTGTTCGTATTTCGCTATCTCCCTCCGATTTCAGACCGCAAACAAACATCAAACATTTGAATTGCTCTTCGGTCATCTTGCTCAATTCGAACTCAACACAGCTCTTGTTGATTCGACAGGCAAACGAAATTAAATCTTCGGTAGGTTGCTTTGCAATTTGCAAACAGCGATACCGTTTGCTTACAACGGACTCGACAGCACCGAAAAGCGTTTTCAGTTTTTTTACTGTGTCACCGAACGGATAGTTTTTCGGAACCTTCGGTAAGATGAAACTTACGTATCGCTCGTGTTCCGCAGCACCCAGTTTCCGCATGAGCAAGCGGACCTTGGCCTCATCGTCTAGGCGAGCAGCATCTTTTTCAAACAGGTCGTCGTACCTGGCGTACCAAGCAGCGAACGTGACGCTTCCCTCTGGTTCGTAGCAAAACTCTTTAATGTTGTTCGCCAGCGAATCCAGGATCATCATCAGGGTTTGGAGGTACCTGAACGCGAATCGACTGCAATGCTTGATGAAAAAGTGTTTGCTGCTGCTGCATGAACTCCTGCTGTTGCTGCATGAGCTGGTGTGCGAAAGTCTGCTGCTGTTGGAAAAGGTGGGCGAAAATTGCTTCGGTTGGTGCCGGTTGCGGATTTGGAGCTGGATGCGAAGGATTTGGCTGTGGGTGATGATTCTGCTGCGATCCGGTGCGCTGGGTGTTCACTCCAGGTGGTTGCTGAACTCGTTGTCCGCTGATTCCTGGTGCTGGCTGATTTCCCGGGCCCAGATTGCGGTTATGCTCATCATCCATGTTGAGCCGGCGTCTCTTCCGTGCGTGCGACACTTTTCCCGACGATTTTCACTGCGAGAAAAAACAATTTTCCCGAGTCGCCACTTTTACGGTCGCGTGTGTCCGAGGTGGCCGTTTCGGAATAGCAGTATTAAAACGCGACACGTAAAGTTAATCAAATTAAAACTGTATTTTACGATAAAATGAGACGGTTACAAATTACGCGTGTTCGCGGTTCTTAGCGTTCTTCTCTTCTTCTCTTACTCTCTGTTTTTTCAATGACGTTTCTTGTTGGTGCTGTCATGGCATCGACGTTGATGGCAGCTTGACTGTCATCTGTGAGCCCAGCCGAAAAGTGATAAAAAAAAATAGAGTTGGTCCAAAGTCCCAACATGAACTGGTTAATGTACCGGACCCAATAAAACAGCAGATTAATAGGAACTGTAGATTTGATAGTTTTCACCCCATTACATTACATGAACTTAAAAATATTTGCTTTTGTTTAGGAAAAAACGGCAGGAGTAGATAATGTTAATGCTAGAGTTATTCAAGATTGCTTTCATGCCATTCGACACACTCTGCTGGACCTCATTAATCAATCATTGCAATCTGGGCACGTGCCGCAAATTTGGAAAAAATCTTTAGTTCCTATACAAAAACTGGCTGGGACGATTAAAGCCGAAGAGTTTCGTCCCATCAACATGTTGCACTAGACTGATGCAAATTTTGACATTTTCGCTCCACAGTGCTCAAACGGTTCCAAATCGGGTCCTGATTTGTCTCCCAAAATTTGAACTCATTTGAAAAGAAACTGACTTGGCACAAATCATTTGAAGTTTATATGGAAACTACTATGGGAAATCCAAACTTTTTGTTCATTGTCTTCTTACCTTTTTCCATATGGCACTGTTCAAAAATTCAAAAGCTATACTCATGGAAAATTTTCTCAGCTTCAACTTAGCAGAATATAGTTGTTGAGCCAAACGTCAAATAAAATAGTTATTAATTGTTTAAGAGATTGATAATCTTATGGCACGATCAAGCAGCTGTTTTGTGAGCAACACTATATCTTGCAGTGTGACATAGCAGCCATGATTTTTGTGCTCTATTCCAAGCGCCAGAAACACCAATGTTGCCTGCGGAACAGTTGATTGAGCATAATCGTAAGACATTAGTGGCTTGAATTTTTGTTAACTTTTGATGCTTACATTATATTGAAAAGTAGTTCAGGACAAAGTTGTAGCTGAGAAAATTTTCTACGAGCTCAGTTATCATTTTTGAAAGCAGAGCTATATGGTAAATTGTTAGATGGATATGAACAAAACATTTGGTTTTCCAATAGTAATTTCCATATAAACTTCAAATTGTTTGTGCCAAGTCAGTTTCTTTTCAAATGAGTTCAAATTTTGGGAGACTAATCAGGACTCGATTTGGAACCGTTTGAGCACTGTGGAGCGAAAATGTCACATGTTGCACACATAAGAGAAAATTTTAGAACTTGTTGTAAAAGGCCAGCTGTTAGAATATTTAAATAGTAACTGTTTGTTGATACCGAAACAATTGGGATACCAGGAAGGTCATTCTTGTGAAACCGCGTTAAACTTAGTGTTAGCTAAATGGTTAGCTTTAGGTGCATTGAAAGTTTTAAAGCTGCATCTAAAATCTCTTGTAGGGTTAAATACCGCATTTCCGGCCTATTAAGCACAACCCACACTTTATCTTTCTTAATCTAGCGCAGCTTAGCACCAAACGGAATATTATTATTACTGATGGCTTCAACATTTATTTACCTTTCCGTATGTACCGTAATATTTGATAAAGAGAAACCAATCGTTGGGATATTGTCAAAAGTCTAACACTGCTTCTTGACGCCAAACTCGGCCTATGGATTCTAAACTCGGTCTAACGCATTGAAATGCCAATGAATTCACTTCGGCCTATCGGATGAAGATAAAAATTGATTCAGTCGGAGCGCTTCTTTTGTTTTTGGGAATAATGGGTACATATCACGCGATCGCATTGACTTCGTTCCGTAGCTTATTAACTAAAGTATCGTACCAAATGCATAATTGACTGGTTAACTCTGAGATCATGGATTAATTTGAAATTTTCTGCTCGATAGGCCCAAAATGGGCGATTAGGCCCAAGTAGTTCTCTACCCTACTTGGGCGTGGAGTGCAAAACATAATTCAGTGGATGAATTATTTTACAGAGATCTTCGTCTCAGTGTTATATTATTTACTTTGTAAATTAAATGTTTATTAAGATATGTGTCTAACAAACAACAGTTTTTAAAAGTTTTTGTTAATCCTCGAAAATTTTCAAAGCAAATCGTGAAAATCTGGAAAGCAAGGAAAATGTAAGTAAGTAAACATTTACTCTTCAAAATTATTAGCGCCCTCAAAGCTATGAAGCGCCCCCTTTTGGTAGGTGGGCCTTCCCAAATTAAAAGGGCTGCGCACGCCAGTGGCGATTTCCTCTTTCAGTCATTGTGAAAGGTCCGACGGTGTCAATTGACACTACGTCAAAGGGCTTGCTGGGTGCAGTTGTCACTACTGCATGAGTTTGCAGTGGTGTAAAATGCTTATTATTTTTACATTGATTACACTTATTAATGTAATCTGAAATAAATGTTTTCATATTTTTCCAATAGTATATTGGTCTTAATTTCCTATAAAGTCAGTTTATTCCAATATGTCCACCTATAGGAGAATTATGATAATAATTTAGGATATTTTCAATTTCCTTATCGATTGTTACTATTTGAGGCCTTTCAAATATTATTACGGTAATATTCATAAGAATTGAATTACCTATCTGTTTGAACAGATTTATATCGACGAATTTGAAAATTAAATCATTTGAAGCAATTGCTAATTTCTTGTCCATTTTCCTTGCTTTTCGCATTGCATTATTGTAGTATATATTTGACGCATGTGTTATGTTGGGAATTCCTTCAATAGTGTTAAATGCCTTTTGTAGTGTGCATATTATATTCATTGTATTATTTATTTCGAGATCCAATTCTAGAGTTAGATTCTTTTATATGGTTTTTATTATATAATAATAAATCCTTTTCACCAGTTGTAGGGTTGTGATGAAAACTTAATTTAGGTAAATCAAAACATTCCCAGCTGTTTATTTATTGTATTAATTTATTTGGAGGGAAAAGCCCACACTAGTTGGCGCAAAATCTCATCATTTCAGTACAGTTACATTAGCTTGAACACACATAACAAGATATTAATGATAACATAATTAACTGTATTTAAAATATGTTAACAGAAACCGTCAGAAAGTAAAAAGTACATTATAAAACAAATTCTTAAGCCTAACACGAGAGCTGTTAAAATCAAAGCAGCTATAACATTTGTTGAAAATCTTGCAAATGCTAGTTAACGGCTCATTAGCGCCGTAGTTTGTGCGAGAAGCCGGGATGTTGAAAAAATAATAAGAACGTAAATTTACGCGTCTGATATTGACATTCAACTGGTGCAGAAGTGAACCGCAATTAATGTCCGATCGTAGGAGATCAGCAATAAAGGTATACATAGAGATGTCTCGGCGAACACTAAGTAATTGTAGGAACATTAAATTACAGCGACTTTCATAAACTAGGGAGATTGAAAGGATCACTCCAGGGTAGCCAACGAAAGGCGAAACGTACAAATCTTCGCTGAATGGCCTCAATACGATTCACCCCGTTGCTGTAAAAAGGAGCCCATACTACGGAACAGAACTCTAATGTGGAGCGGACTAGCGAACAATAGAGTCTTTTTAAACAGAAAATGTCCCTAAAAACTTTGGCGAAACGAAAAATGAAGCCAAGTTGAGAAGATGCCTTAGGGAAAAAAACAGTCTCTGTGTTTTTATGGATTTTATCAAATTTGAACGATTAAAAAAACTCTAAAATTGATTGTGCAAAAAAAAAGATCTGATTCCGGATTTGTATCTGAAGGATGAAAAGTGGAAGAGGCTTATAGGCAAACAGAAGGTCATCAAGATGGAGTGAATCAAGCGGACCGCCATCCGGGAAGTTGAAGCATTTATTCATAAGATTTTGAAACATGACAAGGCAGGATGTAACGGATTATTCAGACAGTGATAGATGAGGATCCAGTGAGAGTGCAGTTTCGAACGCCTTTGGATACGGTTGTGTTTTAAGTTTGTTCTCTGTTTTGTGCGTGCGTTCGCGTTTATAGTTTTCGGCTGAATTTACCGGATTAGCGCTGGCGCTCTGCTTCCCGGACGTTTATACGTGTGTGATTGGTAGTTTTCTCGCTTTCCGGGAAGTTTTAGAATAGAGAAAGAAAAGGTGATTCAACATGTTTGCAAGCATCAGAAGAGATGTCGCAATCTGCGTTATTTGATTTTAGTGGCATCGCGAGTGATAATTTCCAATTTCAGTTTATTTACGCGCTGCAAGGTGCGTGAAAGCGTTCAGCACAATCGGTGTTGATGTTGGCTCGCTGCTTGCAACTTTTTTTGTGTTTTCGAAAGAACTTGATCGAAAGTGTACCAAAAGTGCTTCTGAACGTGTTTCGCAATTGGGAGTGGTGAAATTCGTAAATTCGTGTTCAGTGAAAATTCCGTATCACAAAATTGCTCACCGAGTTCCCTTTTTTTTGCCGTTCGACGACGACGGGCATGCGAGAGAAAAATAAGCATCGGGAATTTGCTCCCGAATGTATTGATTTGGTGAGTACGTTCCAGTTGAAGATTGTTCTTATACATATCTCGATTGCATTTTCGAGGGGACGTCCAGAGAGCTTTGAGAGTTAGGCGTTGTTGCTTTTGCGGGCAGACGAGTTGGTCGCCGGTAAGGGCCAGTAAGTGCTGCCAGCAGATGAATCAAGAGGTATTCGAAACAAAATTGGTAAGAAATGTCCATTCAAATCGATTTAATACAGTTGAACAAATTTCAAAACTATATACGTGCCAGAATTGGAAATAATATTTTTTGAATCTGGAAGTGTGTTTATGATACCATTATCCATTTGATAAAGGTAGAGTGAACATGC